AACTGCTAATGAACTTATCTTGGATATTTTTCATTTTTAACCTTGGAACTTCTCTAACAATCTTTTTAATGTAGACACTTTTAATGTAGATTCTTTGCAATGCAGCGCCCTCTTCTTTTATTTTTTTCCTCTTTCTATGCATTAATTTTGTGTTACTGTAACCAAGATCTACCTGGATAGAAACAAGGGAGGCAAGATTTATTTGGCAGAGCAGCGTGAGGTGGAAGTTGTTCACATCATGGTGGACCAGAAAGTAAAGAGAGAGTAGGCTATAACCAAGGGCCAAGCATAACCTTCAAAAGCCCATCCTAGTGACCTGTTTCAGCTTTATCTCCTAGAGGTCCATAGCCTCTTAAAATTGCATCACCAGGGGCTGGAGAGATGGCTCAGTGGTTAAGAACACTGGTTGTTCTTGCAGAAGACCTGAGTTTGAATCCCAGCACTCAAATGGCAGCTAACAACCATCTGTAACTCCAGTCCCAGGGGATCCCATAGCCTCTTCTGACCTCTGCAGGCATTGCACAACATGGGTGCACTTACCCACGTGCAGGCAATACACACAAACACATAAAATAAAAATAATAAATAAAAAATTAAACATATATATATATATATTAAAAATTGCACCACCACCAGCTCAGAACAAATGCTCAAAAGAGGAGCTTGTGAGGGACAGTTTGGATTTAGACCAGAACAACCTTCCTAAATAGTTGTCTTTTTCTCTGTCTATACTGAAGGTTCCTTCCTCCTTACCCTTCTGCTTCCTAACTGTGGAAAATATGTTTGTCCTCAGAGCATTGCAATTCTTTCTGCACATTTTTTTTCTCTTGCAGATCTAACTAACCATTTCCATGTTTTCAAATAACATTTCAACTCTACTGCTGCCTTTGAAGGCATTTATAATCTTGTGAAATAGTCATGTGTGTATGCCATGCCTTTCGTGGTTCTTCACCTTTTCATAAACATTCTCTGCTAAGAAGCCCTGACACAAATAAATTTTAAAAAATAAAGAGGAAGCTATATAGTTTAAAAAATTGCTTGCTGGGGCTGGAGAGATGGCTCAGCAATTGAGAGCACTGGCTGCTCTGGCAGATGACCCGGGTTGGAGTTCCAGCACCCACACTGCGGCTAACAGCTGTCCATAACTCCAATTCCAGAGGAATCTGATGCTTTCTTCTGACCTCTGCCTGCATTGCACAACCTAGGTGCACTTACACACATGCAGGCAATACACTCATACACATAAAAATAAGAATTATGGGCTGGAGAGATGGCTTAGTGGT